CCCTCAACTGTGAATTTAAAGGAATCAAATCAAAACAATTAATAACAAACCAACGAAAATGCAACTATGCATGTGCATGTGTGCCTTCAATTATAATATTTCACAATGAAAATCAAACCTATTCCACCAATAATAAATATGTATCCCGCAATGATAATGTAAGCCTTTCATCTTTAACGATTTGATAAATGGAAGCACAACTCATTCACAAATTTGATCATGACGATTATATGTCATCTTTTTTTATAAAAAAAATTCCCTCCTGAAATATGTTTTATTTTAAAAATAAAAATATGTGATATTGAATGGAAAAATATATAACATTCAATGTAGGCCCAAAAAATTAATTTAATCAAGCACTCAAATATCTCATATAATCAAGGGGAAAATACTATTAGAATAGTTCCTTCAAGAAAGTGATTTGGAGCATTTTGCTGTGAAATATTTAACACTTGTTACAAACTAAACAAAAAAGTGAAATTCATTTGAATATATTGCAAAAAAGCAGAGGTTTATCTCATGCAAATACTTTCCATAATTTCTAAGCAACATAAAATTTGTGAGATTTACCTTTAAAATCTCCTCAAAGATCATGATTCATTCGGTGTTATCCACCTCCAATTTTCTGTTCATCGCAAGAAATAAAAAACCAAAAAGAAAAAAAAACTGTGTATAGAACAACATGTTGTTCAACCAGTGAGAGAGTGATTATCTGTTGAGGCTTTTGCAATTAAAACAGTGGGTGGGAGGGAGATAGACGTTCATACTACATAGCAGTATGTGAAAAAAGTGGAAAAGGAGGAGACATGAAATCTTTCAACTTCTTAAGGTCAAAGGTTCAAATCTCTCCTCCAAAAAAAATAAAAACAAACTAATCTCATCACGCCTTGCCGAAGAGGATTGAGATTTTCGTGTCCAGGCCCATTTTATATAGGCTGAAAGCAAATTAGAGATGAGATGTTTTCATATTTAAGCCCGTTGTGGCTCGGGTTTGCAAGAAGGTTGGAGCCCACTTTATTTGGAAAATGCTGGTCTAAAACATTGTAACACATGAGATTAGTTACCACTCTTAAGTTTCTTAATTTATTTGGAATAAAAAATAATTGAAATATACTTTTTTTTTAAATCTCGATTTAACTTAAATCTAATTTACTGACTTAATAAATTATTGTCATTGGTTTGACAATGGACTTTAATATTAATTGAGACTCGCTATCAATTAAAAAATTATTATGCATTAATTCAACAAATAATTTAAATAAATTAAGTCTAAATAATATTTTCTAAGTTTTAAATATTTCGGACATAACATTGTATTAAAAAAGGTATGAAAGTTTTGGGCGTGACTATTTGGGGAATCAATGCACATGGAAGGTAGCCGAAAAGAGTTGTTTGTATGTCACTTTAATTATTAGATAGATTGCAGCTTTATTTTCGTGCTTGTTAATTTAATTTCTTCTAGAAAAAATGAATTGAAAATATCAATAGTGGTCCATCCTCCCTCCTTGTCATTACAATATATCCTATATAAAATACTTCGACTTTACCAGCAAAATAATAATAATAATACTCGGACTTTCTTCTTTCCAAAGACATGTAATATCTTATCTTTTTCTTTTTGTTGGGACTCTTCAAGAGTCGATTTTTTATATGGAGAAAGATTACGGTGCACTCGAAAAATAATTATTGATTGTTTTGAATTATTGATTATAAAAAAATAAAAAAATAATTAAATTTACACAAATCATTTTGTAATTGGCTAAAAAACGAGATATAATACAAAAAATAATTTAGGCATGGGCTAGCTGCCCTATGTCGACCCTTGAGGATAGGGAAAGAAGTGCATCTGCCGGGAGCCATGAGTGCAATGATAAAAACTTTGGCATTTAAATGTGCGGGTAGCCATTTCATAAAAATAATGAGAATTTATATGTATTGTAAGGACATCTCCAACTCATTCTCTATCTCACTCTTTATTATTCATTTCATTCAAATGACTCTCTAAATGTAGAGAGTTATTTAGTTGCTCCATCTCTCTTTATGTATATGTTGTATTCTCTTTAAATTATCAGTAATTATATATATTCTAATTTTATAACCCAATTTTGTATCTCAAATTAAGGAGGATCAGTGGGTCCTATTTAAAAATATAAAATAGTTAGTTAAAATAGAGGGCGTGATTGAAGATTTAAAGTGACAAACTAATATTTAAAATATATTGGAGTAAATATATTTTCATTTTACATAAAATTAATGTGAATAATTAATTTCATACAATTTGTTTTTTAAGCAATGCTATGTAATTTAAATTTGTAACTTAAATTTGTATTCCGAATGAAGGGGATCATTGGATCAGTAGCACTCATTTAAAAAAATTGATGAGACTCATTCATTCAATAATCCTCCTTTATTTGAGATATAAATTTGAATTACAGATTTGAATTACATTGTATTTTTCTTATTTTTTATAATTTGTTTGATACTGTAAAACCCAGCTCGGCCCGCGCGGGTTGACTCGGTGACTCGGTCCCCTTACCTGGCCGGTTTTGTAATTGGATCGTTTGAGCAAATAACCCGGAATAAAACCAGTGAACCGGTCAAAAAATCGGTAACCCGTGAAAATCGGACCGGGTTTACAAAACCGGCCGGTTTTGTTCCTTTAGTATAAATATGTCTTTTTTTTACATTTTTGTGTCTTTTTCTTTTCCCCTTCTGTTTTGCCCTAAATTTTAAATCATTCGTTCAATGTTTGTTAACTCAAAAATTAAGTGAATGGAATTAAGTGATTCAAGTTTGAGGGTGGAGGCTGAACTGTTAATTGAATGCATTGGTTTGTTAATTGAATGCAATTAAGTGATTCAGACTTGATAACTTTGTTTGATTTAATATATATATTAAACATGTTATTTTTATAATTATTTTAATTTTTTAGTCTATTTATTATCATTAATAATTATTTTTTTATTTTTTTATTATATTATCAGTTCGACCATTAATCCAGTGATTGAACCAAAAATCTTTTGATCCGGTCTCTCCTCCGGATTGTTGTACGGGCCAGATTTTAAAACTATGTTAAAACCTCAAAAGATGACTTAATTGATCCCTGAGCTTTTTTGCTGGTTGGTTGACAGAGCATCACGGATTCACGGTAGTCATCAAGTTTAATAAATGAGCTACGGGGAGAATCGGTGTATCTTTCTTCTATGGATGAAGATTTATTCCAATATAATTTTTTTTTAGTAGATTATCAATCATGCATTTAAGAGGGGTCTATTATATATATATATATATATATATATATGTAAACCCCTCACTCATTAATAATAAATAATTTATCAATCAATAAATTAAGAAAAAAATAAATTAGAGGGAATAAAAATTCATCAATACTTAGAGGTAATTCAGTAGTTAAGTCTAATTTTATACAAATACAATGTCTCAAGTTCAACACTTTTCATATCCAAATTCAACATGACGGAAGGCTAGTCTCTTCGTTATGTGCTACATGTCAATTGTGTTGGGTAAGACACATTCGTGTTAGATCTTAGTGAGTTTATGTCAAAAACACTTTGTTTATACTCGATTTATTTATTAATTCATACCTAGCGAAGTGTGTCATTTTGAGTTTGTATCGTATATAATAGAAATTTAAATAAGTCATGTATTTCTTTTAATTAATTTTATATATATTTAATTTTTTTATTAATTATATCAAGTCGATTTTATTTGTTTACAAACGAGTACTTTAAAAAAAAATTAATTTTTTTAATTTCATATGGTAACAACTAATCGTGTCTAATACACTAGTCAGACTACGCCGAGGCAAGCAGTCAAAATCGCATACTTTTTTGAAATCGAAATCAATTTATTATTTTCAAATACGGATTCCCATATAGGTCTGAAACGTAAGTTAGGGATTTGGACAATTTCTTTTAATAAAGAAATGCAAATGCATTATTTTTATGGCGTGGTTCGTAGCTTTAACAGCACATCACCAGTTGACTGGCCTTTTTAAAGCTGGTTTTGTAGACTTCTAATAACCTCTTTTTTTTTAATTGCAAACAAACAAGACGGAGGAACTCCAGTGTTATGACGGTATTACCCCTATTCCCATTTCGACACGTGTCAAAATGTCCACTTTTCAATACTGTACTGGTACGTCTAATTTTCATCTAATAAAAATATATTTTATATTTTATACTATTGATGTTTCAAAACGTGATAAAATTCTTTTAATAGTTCTCTATATTTGATATTTTTTTTAAAAGAACTATCCAATATTTTATGACAAATGATTTGTCTCTTTCATTTGATTTACTACAAACAAAGATTTAATGGAATATAATGTTCTTGTATTTCTTTCTTTATTTCGTGATCTTTATCTTAGAATTAAATGTTATTTATTTTTAACAATGACATTCTTGGAATTGTTGAAAAGAAAATTTATTTCATGATGAATTAGAATAAATAATCAAATGAAAGGAATCTTTATTTATTATTTTATTTATAAATAATCAATTGTATTTGGATATAATGTTAGAAAAGATATAATAATATCCAATAAATTAAAGAGAAAATAGAGGCAATTTTGCATTTTCCTTTTTCTTCCAAATTTTCAAGATTTGCAATTATGATTAATGATCTCCATATTTGTTAATAAAAAAAAAAGTCATTTTCTATAATCTGGAAGGGTAGTATGGGAATATAAATATTTTTTTATGGTAATTAACATGATAGTGGAGTCCGGAGAAAGTCTTATCATGCTCAAGTCTTTTTCTTTCCAAAGCCATTAATGGAGGGAATTCAACTTTACGAACTCTCAACGAGAAAGCCCGTCTAAAAACCAAAAGCAACAAAGATCAGAGTCTTCTACTTCTGGCGCCATTTGCACATCAACCCACTTTCAAAATTTCCTCCTTTCTCTCATTGTTTTCTCTCTCTAGAGTCTATACTATCCATCTCTCTCTCTTTGTTTTATGCATTGAAGTAAAATCTTGGTAATGGAAGATAAAGAAAGCACAGAATCTGGGTCATTTGGAGGCAACTCAGCGAGCCAGTCACCGCCGCCAGTGACTGGTGGTGGTGGGGTGGTGCCAAGGGTGATGAACATGGCTGTGAACATGAGTATGGAGGGAAGTCTTGCGGGGAGCACAGGAGTGGGAGGTGGTGGGATCATGGGTAGTGGTGGTGGTGGGAGTGGGAGTGGTGATTTGACGGGGAAAAAGAAGAGAGGGAGGCCAAGAAAGTATGACGCAGACCGAAACTTGAGACTGCCAAACATGGCATCAGGATCACGACAAGTATCACCACCACCAGGCTTTTCTCTCTCTTCACCTTCTTCTGAGTTGGGTTCCAAAAGGGGACGTGGTCGGCCACCTGGTTCTGGTAACTGGCAACTCCTCGCTTCTTTGGGTGAGCTAAAGACCAGTCACTGGTCTATATGCATTTTGATTTGCTGTTTTATTTGGTTAATTCCTAAACCCCGCCCTTCAAATTTTAGCTCAATAAATCAATTTGGCTTTGGTGTAACTGGATTCTTATTCTTTTTACAATTGAGGAGATAATTGGGGGTTTTGATTGAATATTTTAAAAAGTTGGGGTTGTGGTTTGATGCGAAATGTTTTTGAATTTGCAATTGCTTACTATGATTTGATGAGCAAAAGAAGCAACACATTTGGTGAAATCGGTCATAGGGTCAATAGACTGCTTTAGTGATTTGTATTCCAATTTGTAAAATAATTTCATGTTCCTTTTCAATTTATGTTTACTTATGTTACCTTTGATGGTTTGATCTGTGAAGGTGAGTTGTTTGCAAATACGGCCGGAGGGGACTTTACGCCACATGTGGTGACAGTACATACTGGAGAGGTAAGATAGAGAATATGACAATTGCGTTGGTCTTCCTTGAGCTGCTCATAGCAAGTCCGAAGGGAAACAATCTTTGAACTTGACAGATCTACTTTTGTTTGTTGAGTGTAATGGAGAAATTGGTATTTGCAGGATGTTGCAGCAAAGATCTTTTCATTTGCTCAAAAGGGTCCTCGGGGGATATGCATTCTTTCAGCCAATGGAGCTGTTTCCAATGTCACAATTCGCCAACCCGGTTCTTATGGCGGCATTTTGACATATGAGGCATGATCTCATTCTGTTTTCAATTTTTTTCTTTTGCATTTGTTGATAGAGTATTAGATATTTTCCTATGCTTCTAGTTAAAATTGACCGTGGATTTGTTTTGCCATGGTATGGTGCTCATGTGGTCATTAAAGTCTTTGGATAATGGTAATGATAATTGTCCTTGTTCAGATTGCTCTGGTTTTTCACTACCATGTTACTTTGGGTATTAATATAGTGAGTTCTTTTGGTTAGACAACACCACTAGCATACAAGTTCACAGTCTTGGATATTTTCCTTTTCGAACGAACCCAGCTAAGATGTGGTTGGTCTGGTGTGCCATTAGTGTAGAAAGGATTCAAGGAATCTTAAAATTAAGAAAGGCCATTCGTTTGAATGGTATTGTGTAAGTCCTTTTCACTGCTCAAGTGGTATTTCGTTTTATGGAAGCAAATTCCTATAACTATTGCTTAGAGACTTGAATTTGTGAAATTAAATGTGTTGGGGATGGGTTTCAGCCATTCCTGAAAGAAATGAAAAGATTGTTTTGGAGGCAATATTACCAATTATGTGTTAGTTTTGGGAAAGATTTGGGAGTGACGAATTCTTCAATATAGACACAAGGTATATGTTCATAATTTGATTTCACCTAAAAGGTTTACACCTGTAAATGGTGAACTCATACAGTCTATATAAGTTTATTGTGCACATTTTATTTTTCCCCTGAGGGATTTGATCGTCATATGTGACCTCAACAATAGGATTTTATCTCTCCCTTAAATTGGAAATACCATTCACCATAAGCATCATGTCCACTTATTCTTGCCACAGTGTTATATTTCGAGTCCAATCTCTTTCTTCTTGAATCTGTAGTAAGTAGTATCCTTCACAACTACCGGAGAAATTTGCTATCCGCTATCTAGTGCCTTATTTTACTTCATCTTCAATGTTTAACTGCTTCACCATTCTGTCAGTAGCATATAACCACTACGGAGAAGAAAGACAAAACCCAGTGATAATAAGGTGGTAATCACAAGTGTTGAGTCTTGAGGAGTATTACAGTTTTGAAGAGTTGTATTTCATGAATGAGGAGAGAACCCAAATACATCAAGTTTTGTGTTGAGAAAAATGGTAGTTCATTTCCTTCATTAAATGCACTCGTGGGAATAACTGGATGAGTAAATATTCGATGCAACGGGGATGCCATGACGCATGGTATCAGCACCCACTGATAATCAAACAAGATTAATGAATTACACTAATATAATTAACATAGTTGTTATATAACTAGTCCTAAATGTTTGTGGACTAGCATGATCTCACCGTTACATGGAATATCCTTTGGAAATTTTTACCATATACTCTAGGCTTCAGTCAACCAAGTTGGAGGAATGTGACATTGAGGCCTAAACAATTTAGAGAATCATTATCAAAGATTCTTCTGTCCACAAACCATAGTTTCTTAAGTCTTTTGGATTCCAATCTTATCTACTGCTTCCTGCTATTTGCATTTTTTATTTGGGAAAGATTCTATTACTTTTATACTTGGTTCTTTTATTTTTCTTTTTTAAATTTGTGATTATCAATCTCGTGCAGGGCCGCTTTGAGATACTATCTCTAACAGGATCATTCACAATTTCTGAAAATGGTGGCATCAAAAGTAGGACTGGCGGATTAAGTGTCTCATTGGCTGGTCCTGATGGCCGAGTGATTGGTGGTGGTATTGCTGGTCAATTAATGGCCGCTAGCCCTATCCAAGTAAGGTTTTGGCTTTTTTATGTCTTTTCATATTTAGTTCGAAAATTACTTAAATGCGCCTTTCGTCAACTTAACTCAGTCTTCCTAATGAGACTGCTATCATATGTCAAGCGCAGACATCCTTAAGTACTGATATTTTTGTTTAGGTTGAGACATACACATCAAACATGTAGTTCATACGAAATGATAGGATACCTATTGAATATTTGGAGCCAAGTTTGAGTATGTAGAGCAGCAAGTATAATTTTAATTTACTATTTATCATTGAAATCACATACATTGATACTCAAGGTAAAACTCATATAACTTTGATACACATAAACTATGCTGATTACGCCATGTCTATTCGCAACAACTATTTCTATGCAAATTAGCTTAGTTAATTGCAAATTCTTATCCTTTTAATTAACTACGTTTACTAATTGGGGGTATGGTAATGAGATGGCCTTGAATTTCAAACGAAGAATTGACTTGCTTTTTAGTTGTTGTTATAAAGTTTATTGAATTTCTAAAATTATTGAATCATTAAACAACAGTAAAAACATATTCTCTTATAGACGCATCTTGAGTTTACCTATATCCTAATGTTTTATAGTTTTTGTGTCATTGGGGTCGTATCTTGTATCCATATATCCATACATCCTAGGCTATAATGTAATTGAATCCCCTTGGGGAGAAAAAAGAAAAAGAAAAACTCAGTGGATCTCAAAGGCCACAGAACTTGTCTTGCTACAAATCTCTTATGTAGGTTCTGGTTATTTTTGCCAGATTGTGGTGGGAAGCTTCATGCCAAACGGTTTTAAGGCACATAAAAGAAAGCACCAGCATGAATATACAATGGCCCCCCTTGTCCATGGTGCTCCAGATACGGTGACAGTGGCGACACCAATCTCACAAGCAGCACCAGATAGCAGCAGTTTTCCAAATCTGGGATCTCAATTACCAGGACAATGCCTTGGGGAAGAAGATGACAGCAACAGCAACAAAGAGAACCCGAATCCCACATCTGTGGTTCGAAATGGATCGGAGCCCATTTCTGATCCAAGACCATCTCCTGATATCAATGTGCCTCTGGCATTTGAATAGCACTTGGAGGGATGGTCATCTAGGTTTCTTTTTCTCTTTCCCATCTCACTGAAAATTACACTCTGACTCCCTCACCTGATTTTAATCTCATTTTATCCCCTCAAACATGCGTTTATCACATTGCCCCCTAACTATTTTGAATCGATTTTACAATATCTGAAAATCAAATGTCTTAACATATTTTCGGTGAAAAATGTCCCAAACTACATGTTTTCAATGTCTATAGTTATGACAATACAAAATCAGTTGGTATAATACAACATCATTGAATGTGCAATGTGAAAAAACGTGATAATTGAAGGAATAATGTGAGACAGGATGTATGTTTAGGGTCCAAGTGTAATTTTTCCTCCTTTTTAGTGAACATTGGTGGTTGTCTTCTAAATGTGATGCTTGTAATATGAAGAATCTACTTTAGGTGGATTTTAGATACAGGCTGACATGATAATTTATTAGGCCTTTAACTTCCATTGTTCTTGTTGTAACATTCATATTAGAAAGGATGGCCAATTATCATTCTGATGAGTTTGTTTAGTTTTCAAGTAATTCGCATTTCGGACCTGAGGGTCTGTCAAAGTGATAACCCCTTGAGATGTGAACTTGGTGTTGGGCTTCATCTTAGTGTCAAAAGAAAAAAATTTCAAATCATTTATCGAAACAAACATAAATATTCTAAGTTTCTTGGCTTCTAATGGATTGTCTGGTAGTGTGCCTCCCTGAAGGTATGTCTTGATGGGGTCATTCAATTCAACTCAAAAGATATGCAGCTAACAATTGTGGCCTCTATGCCTGGTCTACTTGGTTTGAACTGGTGACTAGTCAATGTTGGTCTTGGTGGGGTTTCTAAGGATGAGGTAAGTTTGGCCAGTGCATCTGCTATGAAGTTGTCCTCCCTTGGAACATGGTGAATTTGGAAATGGTAAAACTTGGTCAGTAAGGCGTGCACCATTGCCAAGTATTCTTGCATCTTGGCTTCCTTTGCTTCGAACTCTCCCCTCTTATAGTTGAATATAAATTGAGAATTATTGTAGGTGATAAGATGTTGAACTTCCATTTCAACTGTCAACCTTAAGTCGGAAAGGAGAGTTTTGTATTCTCCTTCATTGTTGGAGGCTACAAAATGAGTTTTACAGCACATTTGATTGGAGTGCCATCAGGGCTGATCAGTATTAAGCCTGCTCCACTTTCTTCGTTGGTTGAAGAGCCATCGACATAAAGTTTCCAGCACATTGACTTCGTAATACAGGATGGTGGCAAAGAGGGAGCCTTGGAGGCTGTGGTGGACGCCAAGGCGCCTGCCATAGGCGCTAGGATGCCCTGGGCGCTAAGGCAGGGCGCCAGTTTGTTTTGGGCCTTATGGCCAGGCGCCTGCCTAGGACTTTTGGGTGTCTATTTGGACTTCTAATGAGGCTTCTTGGATGTCTGGTGGAGATGCTAAAGGTCCACAACACTCCTCCTACAATGACATGAGCTCGACAACGAAATCCGTCAAGGCTTATGCTTTAATGACTGCCCTCGGCTGGTACTTTACATCGAACTCGCCTAGCTCTACTGCCCACTTATAAAGTCTTCCGAAAACATCTGGCGTTCCATAACTCTCTTTAGAGGCTGATCTGTGACAACGACGATAGTGTGACTCGGGAAATAATGTCGGAGATGCCTAACTGTTGAAATCAGGGCGAGTGCTAGTTTTTCTAGCCATGAGTACCTTACATTTGCTCTCCGATATGCCCTGCTCACGTAATAGACAGGCCATTGTACCCCTTTTGTTATCTCTAATGAGGACTGAGCTTACTGCAGATGAGGGGGTGGAGAGGTATAAGTATAAGGATTCTGTTAGCATGGCATGGGAAAGGAGAGGGGGCGCAGTTAGATAAGCTTTTAATTTTTGGAAAGCTTCCTCTACGTTAGGCCCCCACTCAAAGGCTTTTCGAAGAATTCTGAAGAAGGGTAAGAACTTGTCTGCAGACTTGGAGACAAACCTATTGAGGGCGTTGTGATCCTTCCATTGAGCCGTTGGAGCTCCTTAGTTATGGTGGGCGATCTCATATTCAGGATGAGTTTGATTTTATTTGAATTTGGCTCGATTCCCCTTTGGTTGACCATAAAGCCCAAGAATTTTCTTGATCCGACGCCAAAAGCGCACTTCTCAGGGTTCAACTTCATGTGGTACATTCTAAGAACATCAAAGGTCTCTTGTAGGTGATCTACGTGGTCCGCTACGACGAGGCTCTTTACCAACATGTCATCCACATACACCTCCATCATTCTTCCTGCCCACTTCACCGCAGGGTCATCTTGGATTTGAAGTAGGATATGCCCAATAATGGCGTTGAGCGGAGTGAAAATTTGTCGCTCCTTCTGAGGGGCAGGATCAAGCTAGTCTTTGGCAGGCACTCTTTCTATCCTGTCTTGCTTATTTCCATGCCCCCTCTTGTCGTCTCCGTCTCTTTCTTTCCTTTTTTCCCCTACTCGTGCAGACTTACCTCGCCTAACCTGGGTGATGTCCTCAGCATTCATATATTTTTGAGATTTTGCCAATAATTCTAGGATGCTCTTTGATGGGCACTTCATTACTGAAAAGAGGAAATTTGATGAGTGAAGGCCTCCTAGGAAAGCGGTCATGGTGACCTTGTCTTCTGGTTCCTCAATCTGGAGGATCTTCTCGTTAAAACAAGTAAGGTAACTCCTCAGACTCTTGTCTTGATCTTTTTTATGCTGAGCAGGTGGGTGGCAGGCTTTTGGTGGCCACATCCCCTGATGAAATGTGCCACAAAAGATTTATATTGTTCGGCGAAGGAACCTATGGAGGCCAGGATGAGCTTGACGAACCACTGTCGAGTAGACCCCTTTAAGGTAGTTGGGAAGACTTTACGCATGATTTCGTCAAGAACATTGTGCAGCTGCATCAAGGATTTGTAGGTGTCGAGGTGATCCAGTGGATGTTTTGTGCCATCAAACGCCTCCACCAATGGCATTATGAATTTCCAGGGAAGAGGGCAATTTGCCACATCTGTCACGAAGGGTGTGTTTGTACGTCTCACTAGGTATTCAACCATTTCAGGTCCTTGGGCCTTCACATAGTTGATGACATCACTCAGTTGATTGTGCACCATTTTTATCTTCTCATCCCACTGATTAGGGATTCCCTTGAAACGTCATAAAAATGGCTCCTATGGTCCACACTGTGATTTTTCCCCTCATCCTCTTGGAAAGGAGGGTCTCTAGCATGGGAAAAAGGAGCTAGAGAAGGAGGTGGAGGTACTCTGTGGTGTTGATGAGGGGCTTGACACACCCCCACCCCTAATCACATAGGATGGGCGACAGATCGGCCACCAAGGTCTTAACCAACCAACCTTGTGCATATTAAATGCAAAATATAGCGGAAGACAAATAATCAAGTGATCCTTCATTGACCTAATGAATACCAGAGGAATAAACTAAACATCACCAACATCATTACTAAATTCATGTAAAACAATAATTAAATCGTAAGGTTCACTACTTTAAACATAAGTCATATTGTTTCCAAAATAATTAAACGTATGTCTCAAAACTATAAAATACATTTATTTCTGAAAACCTACAATAAAATAAATCTTCAATTTCTCTAATCTCTTGTCTATCTGTGACTTATTCCTCACCCTGATTCTGACCTAAAAAATGTTAACTGTTTGTATGAGTACAACGGCTCGTAAATAGCAACCACCTTTAATGAGGTGTGAAAATAAATTTTATAATTTATATAAAAAAATAAACTTTAATACATACATAAGTACAACAAATTATACCTCAACCCTCTCTCACATAATCATTTAAACAAAATGATCTTATGATCACAAATAACTTTATAAATGAAAAGACATTTATAACCTAAAACACACACACACATATATTCAGTTTCAAATACATTAGTCAAATCATGTTTGTTACCACTAGCCTGGTAACTGTTACAGTCTCTTGTAACCATTAGCCTAATAACTGTTTCAGTCTCTTCTCATTATCAGCTTGATGACTGACCCAGTCTCTTGTTACCACTAGCCTGGTAACTGACTCAATCTCTTATCATCACTAGCCTGATGACTAGCTCAGTCTCTTGCTACCACTTAGACCAGGTAACCTAGTCCCCGTCTCATAAACATGATTTTCACATACACTCAAACTGTAGTTTTAGTCCCAACCCACACAAAATTTTCCTTTCATCACCAAAAACAATGATATAAGATTAGCCCACAAATTTTCTAAAATTTACATGTATAACAATTTATAATTTTTAAACATTTAATTGTAACCCCAAACATCAACACATATATTATATATATGAAAAATTCACACACACGCACCTAAACATTTAATATAGAAAATCCTCCCAAAAGAAGTAATAAATTACTCATCTTAATTCCCAAAATTCAATTCAAAACCCTCTTTCTCAACCTCAACGCAATGACTACCTAATCCAAAATAACACATAACGATCAATTCTTATTCCTAACTTCGTCATTTTGCGATTCTATATTTAATTTACGTACTTTCTATCCATTGATATATACTTAATATATCATTTACATATAAATATCTTTCCTAATATGAGGTAATAGGGTATAGAATTTGATACGGACGAAATTCACGGCCAAGGCCTTGATGGCCCAGAAGCCTGACCAGCCCAAAAGGTCCGGAGCAGAAGAGCGGGACTTGACATCGACAAAAAGCCTACAGCCCAGCCCAAACCATAAAGCTATTTGGAGAAGTAAAAGCCCAATCCAAGCTATTTCTGGATGAGCAAAGGGGGCCACGCGTCCAGGGGGGACCACCCCTGACACCTGCGGCAATCTCAGAAAAGGTGGAACACCAAGTCGCCAGNAAAACACACACACACATATATTCAGTTTCAAATACATTAGTCAAATCATGTTTGTTACCACTAGCCTGGTAACTGTTACAGTCTCTTGTAACCATTAGCCTAATAACTGTTTCAGTCTCTTCTCATTACCAGCTTGATG